TGATCCTCTTGTACAAGATACTTTTGAAATAAATGGAGAGGACGAATTATTGAGCGTGATTGAAAATGATTTCGGGGAAAATTCTTTAGGACTTGCCTCGATTCCCAATATGCAAGCCATGATGGTAGAATTGGATAATCACTTCCAACTTCCACTCATGCCACCGGGGTCGAGAGCATTGCCACTAACCATCCCCGAAGAGAAGCCTTTGCCTTCTATTTTGCAGGCCCCCGATGTTGAGATGAAGCCACTCCCAAAACACTTGAAATATGTGTTTTTAGGAGAAAAAGAAACGTTGCCGGTCATAATCTCAAACAAATTGACCGAAGATCAAGAAGAAAAGTTGATTGCGGTGCTTAAAGAGCACAAGCTTGCAATCGGATGGACTATAGCCGACATCAAAGGCATTAGCCCATCTACTTGCATGCACCGCATATTGATGGAGGATGAAGCCAAGCCGGTGCGCCAACCACAACGGAGATTGAACCCACCTATGATGGAGGTGGTAAAAAAGGAGGTCATCAAGCTTCTCCAAATGGGGATAATCTTCCCCATATCCGATAGCAAGTGGGTTAGTCCGACCCAAGTTGTTCCCAAGAAAACCGGAGTCACGGTGGTGGAAAACAAACATGGAGAACTTATGCCCACCCGAATTCAAAATGGATGGAGGGTATGTATAGATTACCGTCGCCTCAACGCGGTAACTAGAAAGGATTTCTTTCCTTTGCCCTTCATTGATCAAATGCTTGAGAGACTTGCGGGGCATAAATTCTATTGCTTCCTTGATGGCTATTCCGGGTACTTTCAAGTACCCATAGCCCCTGAAGATCAAGAGAAGACCACATTCACTTGTCCGTTTGACACTTTTGCCTATCGACGTATGCCATTCGGACTTTGCAACGCACCCGCCACTTTCCAAAGATGCATGATGAGCATATTCTCCGAGTATGTTGAGCTATTTATGGAAGTTTTCATGGATGATTTCACAATCCATGGAGACTCATTTGATTCTTGCTTATACCATCTATCGCTTGTGCTCAAAAGTTGTTTAGAATCAAACCTTGTTTTGAATTCTGAAAAATGCCACTTCATGGTAGAGGAAGGAATTGTTCTAGGCCATGTAATCTCATCCAAGGGGATAGAGGTTGACAAGGCCAAAGTTGAAGTCATTCAATCACTCCCTTATCCTACCACCGTTAGGGAGATACGATCATTCCTTGGACATGCGGGTTTTTATCGGAGATTCATCAAAGACTTCTCAAAGATTGCATCTCCTTTATGCACACTTTTGCAAAAGGAGGTGGAATTCATCTTCTCCGAGGAATGCAAGAAGGCCTTCAATACGTTGAAGGAAAAGCTAGTAACCGCACCTATCATCCAAGCTCCCGATTGGTCTCTTCCATTTGAGATCATGTGTGATGCTAGTGACTATGCGGTCGGGGCCGTTTTGGGCCAAAAGGTGGGAAGGGCATCTCATGTGATCTACTATGCATCCACCACTCTCAATGATGCTCAACGCAACTACGCCACCACCGAAAAAGAAATGTTGGCCGTCGTCTACGCACTTGAAAAATTCAGGTCATACTTACTTGGAACCAAAGTGATCATTTACACCGATCATGCGGCTCTTAGATTCTTAATGACAAAGAAGGAGGCCAAACCAAGGTTGATTCGGTGGATACTACTCTTGAGCGAGTTTGATGTTGAGATCAAGGACAAGAAAGGCATGGAGAACTTGGTGGCCGATCACTTGAGCCGTTTAGTCCTTGATGAAGGAAATGATCATATCAAAGATGATATCCGAGGGGAATTTCCCGATGAGACTCTTTTTTCTCTTAAGGAAATTCGCCCTTGGTACGCTCACATTGTTAATTTCCTTGTTCTAAACAGGTTTCCACCAAGCTTCTCTAAAGCTCAAAGAGAGAAGCTCCAACACGATGCAAAACAATATGTATGGGATGAACCATACTTGTGGAAACATTGCAAAGATCAAGTCATTAGAAGGTGCATTCCCGAGACGGAGATAGCGTCCATTCTTGCCTTTTATCACTCACATGCATGTGGTGGCCACTTTGGAGGAAAGCGAACGGCCATGAAGGTACTTGAGTGCGGTCTTTGGTGGCCAAGCTTATTTCGAGATGCCCATGTCTTTTGTCAATCTTGTGACAATTGCCAACGCATGGGCAACATCTCTCGAAAACATGAGATGCCGCAAGTTCCTATGCTCTATGTGGAGATCTTTGATGTTTGGGGAATAGATTTCATGGGACCTTTTCCTAACTCCCACGGAAATCTATACATCCTCTTGGCGGTAGACTACGTCTCAAAATGGGTGGAAGCAAAAGCCACAAAGACCGATGACGCCAAAGTAGTAGCGGACTTCATCAAAACCCGCATCTTCTCAAGGTTTGGAGTCCCGCGCATTCTAATAAGTGATAGGGGCACTCACTTCCACAACAAAACTGTGAGTGCCTTGTTGAAGAAATATGGCGTCACACAAAAGCTCTCCACCGCCTATCACCCGCAAACAAACGGCCAAGCCGAAGTCTCGAACAGGGAGTTAAAGTCTATACTCCAAAAGACGGTGAACCCTAACCGTAAAGATTGGAGTCTTCGCATGGATGATACCTTGTGGGCATATAGAACTGCTTTCAAAACACCAATTGGAATGTCTCCCTATAGACTTGTGTTCGGGAAAGCTTGCCATCTCCCGGTCGAACTCGAACATAAGTCTTATTGGGCGGTAAAAACATTCAACCTCGACATGGAGCAAGCAGGGATGCAAAGGAAGCTACAACTCCAAGAACTAGAGGAACTTCGACTTGAGTCCTATGAGAACGCCGCCATCTACAAGGAGAAGACGAAGGTATGGCATGATAAATTGATAATGAGAAAGGACTTCCAAATCGGAGACAAAGTCCTTCTTTTTCTCTCACGCCTTCGTCTTTTCCCCGGTAAACTGAGATCACGATGGGAAGGACCATTCGAGGTGATCAAAGTCTACCCCCACGGAGCGGTTGAAATAAAGAGCCTCGACACCGGCAAAGTCCTCAAGGTTAACGGACATCAACTCAAACCGTTCCTTGAGGGTTTCCAAAAAGAGAACGTTGAATGCATGGATCTCTTCGATCCAATCTATGAAGGATGAACAAAGCTACGGCGTCGTGCCACGACGTTAACTAAGGCGCTTCTTGGGAGGCAACCCAAGCAAAGGTACGCAATTTTTTTTATTATTTATTTTTGTTTTCGAATGTCAACTTTTGGGAGAATGGGAGGAAATTCTCAAAAAGAAAATAAGGGAAAAATAACATTTTCAAGGCCTGGGGAAACCCCCGATCGGTCATCATCAGTTACCCGGTCGGATCCATGCCGAAAGGAGGATTAAAATGGACCAAACAAAATTTCAGGCTAATATACCCGATCGAGTAACAGTCATACGCGGTCGGGTATAGAGTAAAAAAAAAAGGAGGGATCGAGTACCCCATACTCGATCGGCCAAAAGCACAAAAATGCACGAATACCCGATCGGGTATACCTCATACTCGATCGGGTAATCGACCCCTGGAGCCAATTTGAAAAATCCGCAAAATACCCGATCGAGTAAATTTATATACTCGATCGAGTATATTTCCAAAAAATCCTACGGCGCCTAAAATCCGATCGAGTATACCCCATACTCGATCGGGAACACAAACCTGGAACCACTTTGTAAAAAAAAGAGAGTATACCCGATCGGGTATATTAATATACTCGATCGAGTATATTTCAAGAAAATCCTACGGCGGACAAAACTCGATCGAGTAAGGGGTATACTCGATCGAGCCCGATCCCGAAACAAGAACAAACCGAGGTATACCCGATCGAGTAATCGGGGTACCCGATCGGGTACACGAGTTTTAAAGACATTTTTGAGCCGAAATCAGTTCATCTTCTCCAAAGCTCTTGCCCCAAATTCGAACTCTCTCTCTAAAAACTCCATTTTCAAACCTTATTTCTCCCATAACTCAACCAAAACTCAACCAAATTCCATCAAATCACCACCAAAACACTCCCCTAACTCCCCTCTACAACCTCATACCAATCAATCTCACCTTCTCTCCCTATTCCCAAAACTCCGAAACCCTACCCCCAAATCCCAAGTCCGAACCTATACTCAAGATTTACTCAAAAATGGCACCAAAGAGGAACCAACCGGAGGGCTCTAACTCAAGGGGACCTATTCGAGGCTACGAGGATGTTCAATTTGGCCCGGGGGATCATCGGAAGCGATTTGTGGCCATTCTAAAAAGGCAAGTCATCCCTTCTCGCTTTTTATGCCATGAAGCTCTTGATTCACTAGGTTTGTTGGATGGCATGAGAGAATTGTTTGATGAATTGCATATGGGCTTGCTTTTTAATGTACAATATAATTGTAATGAAAGGGTCATCTATGAATTTTTGAGTTCGGCCAAGTTTGTGTTAGATGATGACCATTTCTATGATGATGCACTCTCGTTTCGGTTGATGAACACCGACTACACTATAACGAGACGTGATTTTGCCGAACACTTTGGGCTCCGATTCCCACATGAAAGGGAAATTCCGGATAACACTATGGATGCATATAATCTTTGGGGCAAAATGACCGGAGAACGGAATTTTAGCACGTCCCAACTTTACATAAGTCACGTGCAACATCCCCTTCTCCGGATTTTCCTCAAATTCTTGTGCAACTCTTTACTTGGCCGCCCCAACAACCATCACACTCGGATAGGGGATGTAGCCATTCTCACTCTTGCTCTTTTCCGCAATCCCGTTGAGTTTAACATTTGCAACTTGATTTGGGATCATCTACAAAAGGCTATCACCAAAGGGGGGAACATTGTTGTAGGGGGTGTTATCATGCATTTGGCTTCCAAATTTGGCTATGTGGATAATGCCACAATTTCTAGAGACTCATTGATGCATCTTGGATGGTTATCCAATGCACAATTGATCTCTTTGGGTAACAAAGACCACAATGGGAACCAACGGTATAGATGGCACATGAAGTACCCCGAACCGGTCAAATACTTCCCCCTCCCTTGCGATGAATTACCTAGACTTAGGTACAAGATGGAACCCGCCCACATTCCACATTACCTCCTGCCCAACAACATTCCACCTCACCTCCAAGCTCAAGCCGACCAAGCCGAACAACCCAATCCCCAACCGGAGCAACCCGAGCACCAAGAGGGATATGAACATGTCCAACATGATATCCCCGACCTCCCCCAAAACCCGCCACCACAAGACTTCTTCCAACAACTCTTGGCGGGTCAACAATCCCTCTTAACCGGTTTCCAAACAATGAGCCTTGATTACACTAAAATGGGAGAGCAATTCACCCAACTTCAAGGAGAAATAGGCCATTACCGGAACGAGCAACAAGCAAGAGACCGGCAATTTGATGCTTACCGGGAGGAGCAACGGTTGGCTTTTCAAAGGATGGAGGAACAAAGGGCGGCCGACATGCAACGATACGAGGAAGACTACCGGAGGATGTATGGCCCGACATATTCTTACATGTCCCAACTTGGCGGGTTTGCATCCATGGCCTCACCACCACCGGCACCTTCTTGGTATAACCCCTCCGATTGGGGTAACTTTGGCGGCTCTAGTTCCGGCATGGGTGGTTATGATGGTGGGGACACCACTATGGGAGAAGGAGGCGGTGATGATATGCATGGGAGCGGCTTTGGAGGAGGATATTATGGTGGCGAGGGCGGGCACTAGGGATAGTGCCATGATTCAAGTGTGGGGGAGGAAGATCCTCTTTTGGTATGTACACTCCTTTGTTTTTACCTTATACTAAGCATTAATTTTCTTGTATTAGTTGCACACACAAAAAAAAAAAAAAAAAAAAAAGAGAAATAAAATGCTAGTTAGGTTGAAAACCCAAAAGGGCAATCTAAGCAACAAGGGCTTACAAAAAAATAATGAGTGAGTGGTAAGGAAAGGAAAAGAAAAGAGATGCTAGGATGAAAACCTGAAAAGGCTCCTAGGCAAAATGAGAGATATGAGAGAAAAATTTGTTTTATTTTGCAGGACACTATCTCTTGAAGAAGAAGGAGGAGGAGGAGAAAAAATGAGAAAAAGAAGAAATAGGAAGCATAGGAGACCGTTAAACCCAAGGAAATGTTGTTTTGTAACTTCATTCACTATACTTGGTGGTTTTAGTTTCTTATTTCTTCCTATCTATGAACTCATGATCTTGTGATGAACACGATGTAAACATTTGGTTTTACTCGAGGTCGAGTAAAGAAACTAAGTGTGGGGGAGTTGACATTCATGTTATTTCCATGTTTATAATTGTGTTTTTGATTAGTTTTGAGTGATTGTTACTCTAGAAATTACACACTTTTGGTGTAATAGTTTAGTTTGTAAAATGTTTGTAAATTGTTTAGATTAGGGTTGTTCTGAGCTCAAACAGGTCCAAGACCACTCTAGAGATCATTGGTGAACATCACAAGTGGAAGAAAGGTGCAAAAATTCCAAAACAAAATGAAGATCCTGATTTTTGGTGTTGTACCCGGTCAAGTATACCCTATACTCGATCGGGTAAGTTGCTGAAAAATCAAATCGGATAAATCCGCGAACAAGGCAACATGCAGAGAAGATTTTAACCACGATCGAGTGTCTATACCCGATCGGGTAACCGACATACCCGATCGGGTATGCCCATGTTTTTCCAGCTTCCGCGAAGCAACTGAAGGCCCGATCGAGTACCCAATATACCCGATCGGGTACATGACCCTGCAAGCCCAAAAAGCCTATAAATACACCCCATTTCCTCCACAATAGAACACCAATTCCTATATACTTCTAAGCTCAGTTTAGTCAAGTCCTTTATTTATATTTTTATCATGTTTAGTCTCCAAATGAGGAGCTAAACTCTTCCCTCTTGGTTTTGCTACTTTGAAGCTTAATGATTTGTAAGTTGTGAGTTATTTTCTTTAATCTTCTTCCTTGAATATTAATTACTTCCTATTCATATCCCATATTAATATATTGAGCATTACTTAAAGTATCAACTAGTCTTGCCCTATATATTAATTATTACTAGAATCAATCGGTTAATACGCTTGTTATTAATTCGGTTCTTTCAATGGTAGTAAACTTGGATTGCTAATGCATGCTTCTCATGGTTAATAATCTAAGGGGAATTATTTATATTGATTAAACCAATAAACCGCTTGTGTTGAGGTTATCAATCTCAATCGTTTTCATCTTAAGTTTATTGCTACTATCAATTTAATATACGGCGCTTGTCCTATATTGACTCGATAGTAAGTTTTATTAATGAACGCATCTCGTTATTAATAACTACCCTCGATGAACTGGATATACTCCTCGATTGAGTATTCGAGAGGAAGATAGTTAAAGATATAACCGGGATCGACGAACATTTCATTAAGTGGATAAAAGCAAAGCCAAGTCTTCTTCTCATTAATTAAACCACATAACTCGTTCATCTTCGTGTTCAATTTTAATTAAATCATTCAATCAAAACCCCCCTTTATATTTACTAGTTTATAAAAAAAAAAAGAGAAGTATTCCTTTCCCTGCGGATACGAACCTTACTTCAATATACTACGTATATTAGTTGTATTGTATTTATTTTGAGTGCACCTCACGACAAAGTGCACGTCAAATATATTGGCTAAAATGGCTGATTGAGTCTAAATTTACTATAAAGGGTATCAACTTATTTGTGTTAATATATGGGTGTAAATTATGCTAACAAATTGAAACGTAAGTCTAAATTTACTACGTAGTAATAAACTACTACTCCGTATATGGGTATAAAGAGATAATATTTAGCAAATATTAGAGGTAAAAATATTTAAGAAACGTGGGTCTACTAACAAATTGAAGATGAAGATAAGTGGCAGTAGCTTAACATCTGATTCATATGGAAAAACCGATCTGGAATGCCGAAATTGATGAGCAACCTATGGCGAAACTGTGGAATGCCGTTTCGATGAATATGAAGTCATTGATCTGGAACACAAACTATGGCGCAGTTGCTGGAGGTACTTCTCTCGGTCTGGGTGCAAGTGAGCCACGAACCAACAAGAAAACGAGTAGGCGTAAAAAACAAGGGTAAGAGCAGGGGCGGCCCTGGGGGGGGGGGCAGGTGGGGCGGGTGCCCCAGGCCCAAAAAAATGAAATTTTTTTAGGCCCAGATGTATTTCTTTATAGTATATTTGAGTAGGCTGAGTTTTAACCCAAAATTAATAATTTTGTACAAGTTCAGGAAGCCCAAGAACGCAAAAGGCCCAAAATTGAAAAAAAGGAAGAACTAACGTGCAGTTCAATTAGTTAAATTTATAAATTTAACTAATTGATTAGCTATATTAAGTATTGAGCATAATAATGTCTTAGAAAAGCTTGATTATGACGCTATAGTTGATGACACCGGCCTTAGCAAGTGTATTGTATCGGGGCGTTATTTATCATTAAATAATTTTTTATTCGGTTATTTTGAATACATTATTCGACTATGTTTAATTTAACGAATTCAAGTATTTTCTTTATTCTAAAGGTATTTAAATATTATTATTTTGCATTTTTATTTAGGTAGAAAAGTGTTTTACAATTTTTTTTAAAATTAGGCCCATTTTTTTATTGTTCGCCCCTAGGCCTTCGAATATACAGGGCCGCCCCTGGGTAAGAGAGTACTTCTAATTTCTAACAACACATAAATAATTTTCAGCTGAAAAAGTAACTTTGATGTTGCTTTTTTGGCTGATAAGAAAATTCAGCTCAAACAGCCCAAAAGCATTGTGTTTGGCTATATTTTTTTAATTTCAGGCTTATAAGCCTATTTTTGGGGCTCCAAACACCCTCTTAGTGGAATTATCTTTGAATCATTCCAATTATATGGCCAGTGCCTCAATAATGATCCATGATCGGGTTTAATTTGTTATAGTTAGTCACTTTTAAATAGAAATTAAGCATATTCTATAAATAAAATAATTTGAACTATGTTCATTCCTATTTTAATCATTTCAATCATCAACTCGGTTATTTTATCAAAACATAGAAAAATTCATTTAAATTGAATTGCAAACTTAGAATTTTATAATATGTAAAGTTAACCTATTCTAGAAACCACGGCGTTTTAAAAAATAAGAAGAAAAAATATCACATTTCATTTCTTATATTTTATTTTCTGAAAAAACTCATTTCTGATATTTGTAAATAGTTTTTGGCTTCCTTCGGAAATTCATGTTTTTATTGATTTTTAACTAATTTCAAAATAATTTAATATTTTGGGATGATTAGCTTTTAAATTTTTTAATATTTAGAAAAATAAAATTTATTATTATTATTTCTTTTCATTTTCTTGATTTTAAAATTTTATGTTTTCACATTTTAATTTGAATTTGTACTGAACTTGAATTTTTAACATTATTTGCTATAGAAAAAGTAGAGAATAATAATCTCACATTCATCGATCTTCTCAGAATAATCATATGTTTATGTAATCTAAGAATAATCTCAAAACGTCTCATATATCATTTTTCATTTTTCTCACAAGTTGTTTTCTCTTTTGTTTGAGAAAAGGGGCGAATAAGCCCACGTACTAACAAAAAATGATCAAATAAGCCCTTATTCAGGAGACTCTGTCTGGCCGTCGCCATTTGGAGTGGTTCCCGGTGGAATTTTTTGATTAATTTTTTTGAGCATCTTATTCATTAAGTCTAGTTTACTCATACCAAATTTCAGATAAAACTTTAATCGGGAGGTCATTCAAATGAATTCTTGAAGATAACTGGCGCAATTAAATGCGCAGTTAACTTCAAGAATTCATTTGAAAGTCTTCCTGGTTCAATTGTTAGCTGAAATTTGGTATGAATAAACTAGACTTAATGAATAAGATGCTAAAAATATTTCATCAAAAAATTACATCGGGAACTGCGCCAAATGGCAATGGCCAAACAGAGCCTCTTATATAAGGACTTATTTAGCCTTTTTTGTTAATACGTGAGCTTATTTGCCCCTTTTCCCCTTTTGTTTTTATCGTGTCGGGCATTTCCCCCCTATTTTCTTACGTAGTATTATTTTGTTTCTATGCTTATGTATTTACTTTCGCTTTATCAGGAAACAGTTTTACTTCTTCCTCATTTTTACTGTATTTCCCTTTCAAGTATTATTACTAGTTGGATATTTTTTTAAGGGAAAGTTCCCAAAATAGGACTAAAACAGTTTGATAATTCCAAAATATGACTGGCATGTTTTTTATTCCCAAAATAGGAAGAATTACTGTCAAGTTTGGAAAATACTGTCATGTTTGAAGTCTGGTATTGCCAAAACATGACAGTAATTAGTCCTATTTTAGGAATAAAAACATGGCCGTTCTGTTTTGGAATTTTCAAACCTTTTTAGTTCTATTTCGGGTAATATCTCTTTTCACCCTAAGCGTTATATATTTATTTGTTTCAATTTTTCTTTCTTTTTATTCTACTTTTTTCACTCTTTCCTCTTATCACCTATTTAAAGTCATTGTTTTCTTCCCTTTTCACCCATGTTTTTATTAAAGATTTATATAACGCCCTACTTGCTATTATTTTATTTATTTTTATTTCAGTTTTGTTTTCTTTTTATTCGTTTTTTTCTTCTTACTTTCCATCCCATGCCTTTCTGAACTTATTTAGAAAAATACGATGATGCAAAAGGAAAAAAAAAAAGTATATGAAAAATTGAAAATAATAATGTCAACTATTGATCATTCATGCGTGGTCTCTAATTATAAGGGAAATTAATAGATAACGCTGGAGTACTATTTTTCGGTTCATTTACAATGTTTTCAATTTATAATATTAGATTATTAAAAATGGACCGACCATAGTTTGAATTATTATAAATAGATATCATTTGTTAACATGGGAAGCTGGTAGGGACTCTTATTGGAAGAGATGACCCCTATAATTGGGATACCCAGAAGTAATCAATTGTTAGAATTAAGATAACAAAAAGAATAAAGGGTGGAAAGTTAAATTAAAAAGGAAATCTAGTAAAAAGTAGAGTGAAAAAAAAAATCTTTTAGAAAGGGATAGTGAAGTTTCTAGCTTGCTGTATGTTTTTCAGTTTGCACCTGAACTTGACCAATATATATGAACCTCAACTTAATATTTATTGTGTTCTCAGTGATGCTTAAATAATGCTTTGTAAAACATTCAAACTAAATGTACAAATGGAGAACCACAAACGGTTCGGCTTGCTCTGATGTGCAAGCCATTTATTCTGAGAGTCCAAAAAATATATGGAGAAAAGATAAAAACAATCAAGAAATCTGGGATAGATAGCTTATTTGGACTGCAGAGTCAGAAGATCAATATCATTAAGAAATGAAGGCATGACTTTAATGGGTTGCATGATAAAACCAGATTTCAAGCATTCCTTCTGGAGCTTCTTCACTTGGGCTGGCCCATCTGGACAGAATGCAACTACAGCACCTCCACTTCCTGTAAATTTTGATGCCCCACCCGCTCTTCGAACGACTTCGACCATCTCTATGTTCAACTCACCAAGACACTCGTCCCCGAACATTTTCCTGCGCCAACACAAGGTAAAATAGCCACTTCAGTATTTCCTGCAAATTTAGTGCAGGAATGCCTGGCCCTACTTGCTACATGAATTAGTTTCCGAGTGCAGCAAAATTGTAGGATAATTTGATCACTGAAAGGAAAAACGCTTGATAACAATTGTAGAATTTCCTACATACATACTGTAATTAACTTTACCTTCTTAGGTCAAAGTTTTTGTTCATGAGCTCTGCGACCTTAGCATAGTCCTTTTCAAGCAATGCTTTCCTTCCTTCCACAGCTATTTTTGCAACCTCTTCCATTGAAGATATTATGAACTTATCCCCATCTAACCACATCCGGCGAACTGAACTGTGCACCTGCATCACCATAAAATGTCAAAATCAAATGTTGTTTAGCCTCATAGAGAAAAGCCTCTCAAGTAATAACTCAACCAAAGAATTAAGACTGCCTTTGGAACTCAGAAAAAATGTTAGGAGAAGAAAATGAAGGAAGCTCCGAAGGAAAGAACATGTAGGGAAAATTAAAGACCGTCGTGAACTCCACAAATCAATATATGGTATATGTTCAATCCATTCATTTAAATGTTCATATAAAATAAGGAAATACAAATACATCTAAAAAAGTTTTATTTCAAATTTGATTCCTTTTTGAAGGTCAAACCAAACACGAAAAGTTCATATTTATTACTGTGTTTTCCTTTCCCTACAACTCTTCAAGTTTCAAACATAGCCTAAATGTCACACGGAAGATCTTTCGCGTTCTCATCATCTTCGAACACAACAAGTTTGAACATAACACTGACCTTTCCAGAATCACTGGGATTCTCAGCATAGATTAGATGCAGGGGAGGGAGAAGATTGATATCCATGGGTGTATACACTCCATGACCTAACTCATCCATATGCTTTTTACCAAAATCCTGTATAGCGAAGCTTGGTTACAAATGATTGTTTTACTTCAAACTTATGTTTTGCCCATTAGGAAGACGGCAGTAGTGCACATACCATATAAACAACACCTCCATAGACCTGAGCTACCCTATCCTGTAAACCGGCCACAATACCAAGTTCTTTCTCTGCATTGAGGATGAGGTTTGGTCTGACCTCAACTTTAACCAGATGTCTAACATTGTAAAAGTCAAGGAGGCAACTTAGGGCAGCACACACAATAGCACTAGATCCTGAAAGACCTGTCTGAAATGTTAAAAAGTATGGGCTTCTTAAGTTGGGATTTGAAATGTAAGAGTGCATTTGGGATAAATTAAATGGTTTTCAACAAATAAATGTTTTTTAGAGGGAGAAAAAACACTTAAAACACAGCTTTTTAAAAAACACTAACACCATAAGTTATCCCAAACAAGCTCTTAGATGGTTCAAGGAAATCACATTTACATGATAAAGTAATTTTTCAAAAAAGAAGGAAAAATATAGTAGACTTAGTACAGTCACTACCTGCCGGGGAATGTTAGTATCATACGAGAGCTTGAAATTTTCTTTATGTAGACTGATGCTATTATCCTTGCAATAATTGTAAAACACCTTACAAATTGCCATCAACAATCGGACTCCTCCATAATAACCTTCACTTTGCAACCGGTTCACCTGATTCAAAATGCATGAGATCAATTGATTTTATTATTTTGATATAAGTACTAACAAGAATCGTATTTATACAGATGTGGGAAGCACATAATATAACATTTCTAAGGCATATTTTGTTGGAAAATTTAAGTATATTTCAAAAAAACAAGTTGCTGTTTTTTACCATAGTCCCTAAACCGGTTGATTTATACTCAATATATGGTGAATTCAATTTTAATTTGTTACAATTAATTAGAAAATGAATTTGGTGGCACGTGGTATGCTTACACGGACACTTGGGACACCAAATGATCTTTTGGCCATTATAAATATTTCAAGTTTTGAATAAAATAGTCCGGATAACTTTTTGAATATTTCGTCCGGATATAATTTAAAATGGACTCGTTGGAGTTGAAAGAGTAAGCTGGAGAATGTGGGGATGTTTGCATGGATGTCCGCATATACCTCCTACGCTCTTGGATCATCACCAGACTTCAACAACTTCATTTTTAGCAACTGCAAACTATTACTTTTAAAGGTTTGTTCGTGCTTCCAGTTGGAAAGAAACTTACTAAGCTATAAGATTTTACTCAGCTTTAATATAAGAGCACTACTCACGTAAAAAAATACTTCTGCCAATCATTATACTACGTAGCATATGTTCTAATATATTAAAATCATTGTTGGGTCACGTAAACTCAATATCTCCTCGTAGATTCTGTGTCCAGCGAATTAGCCGAAGGGCTCGTTATATCTTGGGGGGAGATTTCCGGAAACCGGAAATACTTTCTTGAAGACAGCGTCTGACGCGTCTCGAGCCGTTTTATTTTCTAGGAGGAACCTGCAAAGATATCCTAAGCACGTTTTATTAGATTCTACCTGATTTCACTAGCTTTGAATATATCCTATTCTTTTATGGATGGATGGTTTGGAGGGGAAGGTTTTGATTCTTTTGAAGGAAAAATAGTCTACATCTTAAAAAAAGTATAAAAATAATATTACTAAAACCAGATAAAAGGTTAACGAAATATTGTACAATCGCTTCCTATGTTAATCTTTATATAAAATCCGAAATATATACATAAACGCTCCAAAGTCTTCCCCTACAAACCTCTCAAAAAACCACACTCCAACACACGCCCTAAACATGTAAAATTGTAAACTGTAAATGTGTTAAGTAAGGCAAAAACACAATTCACCGGAAATAAACACAAAAGCCAAGAAAAAAAGCGTATTGGCAGAATAAGATCAATCATAATATAAATCAAGGTAATATTATAGGAGAGAGGGAGACCATGTGGTAGAGGGAATCAAACTGGACGAGATCGTGAGTGGGATGAGGGGAGATGAGCAACTCCGGCGAAGGCTCGAGTTGCACAGAAGCCCAGAAATTGCCAAGGCTGAAGGAGATGGTATTCCCGTAATACACATCGCTTGGGTTTCCTAAAAAACCAACTCTTGCGTACGCCTTGTGTTCTATCACTTCACTTTTACCTGCCATTCCTTTTTTTGCCCTACAAAAAGATGAACTTTATACTTTTACTTATAGTGATTGTTGGGCATCCAATCTAGCTAACTGAATCACATATTCAAATATCCAGTAATTTGAGTTCAAGGCTAAAACTGTTTAAAGCTTATCCTATTTCATGTTCAAAAAACTTTAACCTCATTAGTCCCTCATTCAACTATTCAATATAATACATCTAAATATTTCATTGATTTCAAAACATCCTTTATTCAGAAAAACGTGATAAATAAACATTATAAGAGTTAGTATATAATTACTTCATAAAATTTACTACATTATATAAACCTGATCAAATACAGCTAGATAATTTAAACAAGTATCAAAAGATATAAACGAAATAAAAACTTTTTAGAACAAAACAGATACTACTAGAGAGGGGAGAAAAATTGAACAAAAAAACTAGCTTCCTGATGCATCGGTGGAGATGCTTGATGGAAAGATAAAGCGGGTTGTGGGAGCTCACCTTGTAATGGAAGGCTGCTGGGTAAGGGTGGAGGTGAGTTTTTTCTATACAGAGTCAGAATATATAATAGATAAATACTGCACGGAAACAGGGAACAGCATTTTTAAAAAATATAGCCACAAAGGACACAATACTGATAACAAAATGGCCACAAAAGTTGCATATCCATAAAACATTGCCACCCAGATCACCAATTTTGCAGACGGCCACAAAGAACTACTTATATTACTAGCACTCTCCTCCATTCAAAGTAACTGAAAGAGATGTATTAACCATGAAAAATGTATTTACAAATTCAAACTAATATTTAAGATTGTTATCATGTTATACATTATTTGAATTCTTGAAATACTAAAAAAAGATTAATGAATCAAATAATAGCAGTTTGGACAACTGACTAATGAAAAAACGTAAAGAAACAAAAAATAACATTAAATAAAATATAGGACTACATTATTTGAATTCTTGAAATACTAAAAGATAGGCCTTGTTGAACCATACTAATAACAAATACCTAGTACTCTGTAATAAAGAAATGGGTCTCATCACTGCCTATATCACTTAATTAATACTCAGTTACTTACAAAGAAAAACAATTTAAAGTTTAAACAAATAAATTGACAAATCCGTAAGTGATAATCAATCCAATAATAATACCAAAACATCAAAAGATATACCAGATAGCCATGCTCCGTACAAAATACAAAAGAAATCAAAAGAAATGGGTACCAAATAATCGATTAATCGCTAATTACCTGAGCTCCTGGAGCGATTGAACTGCAGCCTGAAGCTCGAAGACGCTGAGCGATTGAACTGTAAGGTCGCAATGCTGAAGCCTGAAGACGATGAGTGAAAGGACCGACAGGTTTACCGGGTGTAATTCCGTTTCCCGTTGGAAACACTAGAACGTTTCCGGGGGGATTTAAGGAGAATGGCAGATTTTCTTCCGACCTGGTCAGATTAATTAAAGAAAATTTGTCATTGAAACGGTGAAGGAGGCGTCGAAGTGGAGGATGGCTTATTTGGAGTGTTGGACTTCTGGACACCTTTTAGATGAAAGGTACGGAGTATATCTTGTGCGATTCAGGACGAATTTAGATTCATACCTTTTTTGTCCTTGTTTTTTTTAGTATTCCACGATCCTTATTCTTTTTAAGATAAGAAATAAAATAAAATAATGAACAACAAATAAAAATAGCCAAACAAAAGAATTAAGGGAGATGTACCCAACTACAATCAAAACGATGTCATTATTGAAAACAATGCCCTCATAGTTTAAAATGGTATTAATAATTGATATAGGCAGAATTGGTATAAACCCAAATAAAATTGGTATCAATTGGTGTAAAATGGTATGAATAATTGAACAAAAAAAATCTAACAGGGTGGGAGCTATTGTCACAAGCCCCACGTCGCCAGATAATTGCCTTACCGTCTTGCCGAAATTTCTTCTCTAATAGACGCCGCTAACAGACTCATCTGTTGCCAACAGAGTGATCTCTGTTATGTAAGAGGAGTAGGGAAGAATTAATTATATTAATTAATTAGATCAAGGGTATGAGTGACAAAAATGTAATGTTCGTCATATTTATGAAAAATCAAACGCATAATTCTATTTTCAGAAGAATGTTATGTTTTAATCTTAGATGCCATTTTAGATGCCATTTAAAAACGAAACAACTATTATATTTTTGTGTTCTTAAAATCTAAAGGTCATATTTATGTATTTCAATATTAAGGGAGTATTTAAGAATTTTTCCACCTAAAAAATTTGGTTTCACAACAAATGATTCATGTTTTTTCATAAATAGGAGTGTGTCTTGAAACCATAATGTAATATGATGTCATAAATTAAGTAGGACAAGTATCGGCCCAAGATCCGGTCGTCCAAATTGAAATTCAATTTATCAATTATTATTTTTAAGGTGGTTTATATTGATATAACAGAATTCAGAAAAGAAACATAAAGATGAAAAGTTCACTCCCACCGCCAGCCCTCGAACGAGACTTAGAATCAACCGTATTTCAAAAAACAATATGATTCGTTGATCCTCTAATAGGCTTAACTGAGTCAAAGACGGTCAAAAACATATCTCTCATCACCCAATCCAAACTCTAGAGTGTGACACAACAAAAAACAATAACAAGAATAGTCAGACCAATTCAAAAAATAAAAACAAGAATATAGTTATTGGATTTTAGCCGCTTCCTAGAACCACGAGAAACTCTAGTTGTCCTTCTTTGGCATAAAACTTTCTCAGAAACCCCAATTGGTCTGGTAACCAAGACCCTCCTCGTTTTTTGGCTCATCCAGAGCCATGACATCTTTACTCGGATTCACTTGCTCATGTTCCTCCCACAACTGTCTTCTCTTATGATCCTCAAGAACCTCCCTCATACTAACTGATCTTGCCTCACTTGTCATATCCTTCTCGGATTCCGCCACTATTATTATCCAACCATGTCTCCCTGGCTCCTCAACCCTCTCTCCCCTTTCTACTTGTATCCTTGTTGTGTTTTACTCATACTTGCCGATGAAGACCCCTTTTGAACCAAACACTTGTTAGTTGTTACCAACTGTAGGGCACGATCCCCCCCCCCCCCCGCTCGAAGTCACACTCCAAAAGATTTCTCCAACACTTTATCTCCTCTCGCATACGCCAAAGGACAGAAACTATTTTCTTTGCCAGTGACTCCACCCACAAAGCAAAAACTAGACACTTTTTTATATTTAAAATCTACCCAGTATCCAACCCCTTGCTCTTTCCTAAGTGTTGTTCCAATCTTTAGGGATTTTTCTACATCCATATAGATTCTAATTCTCATATAAGCATATCATGTTCCTTCAAATTGTCTTTCACCAAAATTGATGAACTTTACAACAAAGTTACTTATCCTCTTAGCCACCTCTAAAGTCATATAGCCATAAGCCATATGTCACATTCAGTGCTTAAGAACTCGGAATTTTGTCACATTTTTTGGAATCTTTAGAGGTATATCCCTGACCTAACAGTCCTAAGAATCAACATATTTTGTTCAAATAATCACGGGCCATTCTCTAAGACACGTTGCATATCAATTATGTGATAAAAGTGCACAAATGCATTATATCCCCCAACTTCCTTAATTGAGACTCCTCTTCTAGGTCATCATATTGAAGTCGTAAGCTCTCTGAAAATCTGGAATTTTACCTTCCTGTCGGTGATGATTGTGCCTACGACTGGAAAAACCTCTCTTTCGTTGCCTGCCCTGCCATGAACCCCTTCCTCGAAAACCAATCCCCCCCCCCCCCCGCAATATCCAAACTATCATATTAGTACAAAGACTCGATATGACAATTTCACTTTGAAATGTAAAAGAAATATTTTACAATTAAAAGGGTATCTCATTTCACTCTTTGTATATGAAACTACTTCAACTAGTTAGATTGATGGCTTACACTTATGAGAAACCTTCTTGGGTTGTCTCATCTCATGCTCAAGAGTGCTCTTCACTAGCTTACACTCATCAAGAGATATCTTTGATACACTAGGTCACTCTCACAAGAAGGCTCTCACGTTCACTCACTTAAGACCACGTTCACTCACTTAAGACTCAAGAGTTCCCCTCTTCTGATCCCTATCTATACTAATCTAATCAAAACTTTTCTAAAACTTTTTATACACCATTATATTTCTAGATTCTTCAAAAAAGTATCTACAAGCTTCACTAATCATCTCGAAGGAGCTAGAGAACTTCACAATTCTTCATAACATTTTGAGACTTCCACACACTTCCACACGGTTTTATTGAGTTCCGCACTTCTCTTGAAAACTCCACATTATATCTAGAACATTCAGTACTTCTCTACCCACATCTAATCTTTGCAATATTCTAAAATTCTCATGAGTTTCTCCATTAAGAAGGGAATCCAACAAAGTTTCGAGAATGTTGTGAACTTTTTGTTGCAAGAAACGCGACAACGTATTCATCAATCTCAATACATTTCTGTTCACCATAACCAGGAAAAGTCAACTCCTGTGCCATTTAAGGTGTAAAACAATTCACACTTGCATTCAAATGAGTGTGATGTGCTGCAGTCAATATTTGTATTTCCTAACAAAAAACATGTCTGTACTCACTCTTATACCCACTTTTGTACACGTTATGTCTGTGAGAAGTTTTTTTTTGTCTGTGAATCTCGGTACAAAAAAACTCCTGATAGACATTATGGGTATAAGGTGGGTATTAAAGTGACTACAAGAAGAAGTTTCCGTTTCCTAAAGACACGTTTCCGGAGAGAGTTTACTACTCCCTCCGTCCCGAAATTAACTTCTCACTTTCCTTTTCGGGCAGTCCCAAAATTAACTTCACACTTCAAAACTTTCATTATTTGGCAAATAATCTACATAAAAAAAGTGTCAAACAGTGTCAAACAGTGCCAAATAGTGTCAAACAGTGTTTAAACAGTGCAAAACAGTGCACTACACAGTAAAGTCAAATTTTTTTTCTTAATCCGTGTGAAATCAAACTGTGAACTTAATTACGGGACGGAGGGAGTATTTTTTTGGCCCTTGTCCTCCATGCTTCCATAGCTCCAACCAAAAAATCTATACATTTATGAAATCATTAAATTCTTTCAGCTCTTTTGACTAAACGAAGTTGACTAATACTTGATGAGTCCCTCGTAATGCACAAGCATCAATAGAAAAAAGGTTAGGTCATAATTATAAGGGAAAATGGAAACTAATAATTCAACCTTTTAGCGGTCTTCTTTCAATAATCCCACCTTTTGATTATTCATGAATAATCCAACCTTTGCACCTCATCTTCATTCATTGGTCCCTGATCGGTTAATGACCTACTATTCCAAGTTATTTTCTTATCTTTGTAAAATATTATCTTTGTGAAAGATGAGATTTATGGTATAATGATTTGCAAAGATAAGAAAATAGCTTGAAATAGCAGGTCATCAACCGGTCAGGGACCAGTGAATGAAGATGAGGTGCAAAGATTGGATTATTCATGAATAACCAAAAGGTTGGATTATTGTAAGAAGACCGCTAAAAGGTTGGATTATTAGTTTCCATTTTCCCTAATTATAAAATCAACCTTGTATTTTTTGAACTGGATTATTAACCCCCTGAGCTTTTATTATATATGGAATCTCCCCCTTCCGTTAACTTTAAGTTAATTTGATGGTTAATTGTTAGAGGAATTTCCCAAAATGTCCTCTATTAATATAAACTATGGAGTGAAAACAAGAGCTTCCCAGGTTTATTTCAAATAGTATTTGAACAATGAATTGAGAGGTTCGATTCCCATGCATCACTGCTGCACGCTTAGTTTCTATGCTTTTCTCCTTTTTTACTTTTTTTCCCCAATTTCGCTGACTCATTCATTAAAAGAAAATTGAAGAACCTTAGTTGACAGGATGCATATTTGTTGAGGCGTGCAATCGTCTGGGAGTTGATTTTTGCATGTATTCAACCCCACTTAGTCTAGCTAATGAAAATAAACTTCAAAACTACATCAACATTTGATCTATATCTTAGTTGGGCTAGTGGAGACATCATTGATCTGAGAACTTGAAAGCAGACTGTTGGCTTCTAGTGCAACTCCAAAAATTCAATTCAGGGAAGTTGATTTTCAAAACATTGTTCTGTTGTGGGGCTTACGTCCTACTCTTAAACCAAGTGAGTTGCGAAGAGTTCAAGCAACGATTATATACGTAGCATTAGAAAAAGTAATGAATGTGTTGAACAAATAATCAATAATAAGGGTATATTGGTCAAAACAGTGTCTATTTGACGATGTTTGTTATTGAGTCGTTTATTATCTTAATAGGATTTGATGGAAGTGGGAGACAACAAATAGAATCAAAGTCCAAGGGGTATATAGCTGGAATCTAAAATTACAAGGTTGTACTAGTAATTATGATCAAACCAGAAGGGGTTAATCATAAATTCCCCTAGAAAAAACTATCAAAGTATTACACTATATACATGCCTTTCAATACTCATGCGATTGTAATGGCAATGCTACCGTGCTAATTAAAAACCTAGTTGTATTTTGCGGGTTAAACATAAATTGCATGTTTTCTAATCGTCCAAGTCATCAAGTGTC